GTTTTCGACGGTGAGTGTGCAGGTGGCTTGCCAGTCCTATTTATATAAATGGAAAGCTTGCCCCAGGTAGGACATACAAGTTTGGGGTCCTTGATGGATTTGATGCGATTCTGCTTTTCCGTGATGTGGGCTTTCTTTGGGCATGACCGGTGCGTTTACTCTCTGAACATTGTGCTCCAACAGTGAGTCTGTCATGTCAGCTTGTGTGCTCCGACAGTGAGTCTGTCATGCCAGCTTATGTGCTCCAACAGTAAGTATGCTAAGCTCGCTTGTGTGCTCCAAAAGTGAGTCTGTCATGCCAGCTTGTGTGCTCCAACAGTAAGTATGCCAAGCTCGCTTGTGTGTCATGCCAGCTTGTACAATCCACTGCAAGTATTTTACACAAATTCGGGTCAATGTCCGTGAATTTGAGGGACAAATGTGCGCGTTTTTTCTCCCAACCAGGTGGGCGTTTCTCTCTCTCTCTTTCAGCTTCACCATATATACGTTCTTAAGACAGTCTGGGGTTTGGAATTATCGCAACAAGCTCTGCCATGTCTCGTCTTTTTCGCAAGAACGTGAGGATAAATTGCCTACAAAGACACACAACAGGTAATAATCTTTCACCTACGCTCAGAACACACGCAAATTAATTCCCACCTTAATCGCATAAAACCAGATAAGACACCAATGCCTTCCCCCTTTTCTTTTTTTGGAAACAACCAAATGAGACAGTAATACACCCCCCTCTTCCACTGCTCCACACTTTAGAAAATACGGCAAAAATATCTACCAAAAGCACCAGACTACACCGACACCCACTATACAATCCAAGAACAGCTGCACAGAGTGTTCGATTTCTTTACAATGGCCTCGGGCTAAAGGATATATTCCAAAATGTTTTTTTATCTGAATGGTGACGAAGAGAAGCTATTGGCCTGAATGGTGACGAAGAGAAGCTATTGACCTGAATGGTGACGAAGAGAAGCTATTGACCTGAATGGTGGCGAAGAGAAGCTATTGACCTGAATGGTGACGAAGAGAAGCTATTGACCTGAATGGTGACGAAGAGAAGCTATTGACCTGAATAGTGACGAAGAGAAGCTATTGACCTGAATGGTGACGAAGAGAAGCTATTGACCTGAATGGTGACGAAGAGAAGCTATTGACCTGAATGGTGACGAAGAGAAGCTATTGACCTGAATGGTGGCGAAGAGAAGCTATTGACCTGAATGGTGACGAAGAGAAGCTATTGACCTGAATGGTGACGAAGAGAAGCTATTGACCTGAATGGTGACGAAGAGAAGCTATTGACCTGAATGGTGACGAAGAGAAGCTATTGACATTATCAACTGTCGTCATTGCTCCATTCACACAATAATCTATCTCCACTGAGCAATTCACACAATAATCTATCTCCACTGAGCAATTCACACAATAATCTATCTCCACGGAGCAATTCACACAATAATCTATCTCCACTGAGCAATTCACACAATATCCTATCTCCACTGAGCAATTCACACAATAATCTATCTCCACTGAGCAATTCACACAATAATCTATCTCCACTGAGCAATTCACACAATAATCTATCTCCACTGAGCAATTCACACAATAATCTATCTCCACGGAGCAATTCACACAATAATCTATCTCCACTGAGCAATTCACACAATAATCTATCTCCACTTAGCAATTCACACAATAATCTATCTCCACTGAGCAATTCACACAACAATATATCTCCACTGAGCAATTCACACAATAATCTATCTCCACTGAGCAATTCACACAATCCATCGTCTTGTGTGGGGCATCCACACCAGGAAGTGTTTTCTATAAGTTACTCACAGTTTAGTGCCTCATGTGAGCTTTTTACAAGTTCAAGTGTTCACTTGTACCATCAGCCGTGCCAATGGTCATCTGCTTGTGAAAATTCTCATTATTTTAACTGTTTTGATGCGATACAATGTTGTATACTCGATAAAGGATTACTCATGCTGATTTTAATTTCCAGTAAAAAGAAAGAAATGATTCATTTGCTTTATTTAAATGTGACGCCTATAAATTATAAGACGTGTGTATCATTTGTGGCGACATTTCATTCAAATATGGATTTTTTAATTATCATGTTGACGATTGGCTTCAGTACAATATTTGCATTAATTATGTGCTGTCTTCCTTGCGGTATGCTATTAGCCTTCAAATTTTTTACTTTCGCAAATGCATTTATTATTCTTAAATTTAGCTTCCTTTTGTTTTAACATTGAAAATAATATATTTTATTGGGAATTTAATTTCTAAAATGAATATATATATATATATATATATATCTATATATATCTATATATATTTATAATATATATATATATATATATATATATTTATATGTCAAGTAAGATCATGTCTTGTATGTGCCACTTTCATTTGCAGTTTAAAAAGAATACATTTGTTTAACATGTATGTTTTTTGTTTTAACATTGAAAATAATATATTTTATTGAGAATTTAATTTTTAAAATGAATATATATATATATATATATATATCTATATATATCTATATATATTTATAATATATATATATATATATATATATATTTATAAGTCAAGTAAGATCATGTCTTGTATGTGCCACTTTCATTTGCAGTTTAAAAAGAATACATTTGTTTAACATGTATGTGGTTCATGACGTTTCCTGGTCACATTCCTCGCGTGTCTTTCTGATGTGTGCTCATTTAATATCACAAATAATCATTCTTTAGGTATTCATGTCATGCTGTGTTCCAAAAGCGCGAAAAAATTAAGGTCCCAGAAGGTAGCACTGATTGGAATTCTTATAAAGTAATTTCAGTGGATAGGAAGTTCACGCGCTGCCCCAACCAGGGCCTGTCGGGTCATTTCTAGGAGTTAAGAGACGTCTCATCTTTACTTTAGAACAATTGTCACAGAGAACAGTTGAGGCGACAACACTAGACACATTTGTGTCTATTGCCTCAAGCCTTCAAACCCCTAGTGCATAATTTCCTCATCACCACCAGTAACAGAAACATTGCAAATCCCATCTACATGCATAGGATTAGTGCATAATTTCCTCATCACCACCAGTAACAGAAACATTGCAAATCCCATCTACATGCATAGGAGCCAAAATGATCAATAAATTGATCGTGGGCCCTTAAGATATAGAAGAAGAAGAAGAAGAATGGATGATTCAATGGATACGATAGGGGTGTCTTTTGTGATGAGTCCTTGTGAGAATGTCTCATAGAGACCTCATTTTTGGGTGTCAGTTTTATGTCTTTATTTTGGCATTTGTACTTCCTAAATCTATTTGTGATCACGTAACTATGTCACAGAACTGATGGTGTTATGGTGTTATGGCCGGTACTTGTGGTCACAAACCACGTGGGGTTGGTGTTATTGTGACTGATACAGGGCCTCGCCTCTCTGTGACGGTTCGCTAGTCCAGGCGTTTGAAGATACTAGTAAGAGTACACTGGACACAACTAAATAATTCAACAAAGCCTCGCCTCTCTGTGACGGTTCGCTAGTCCAGGCGTTTGAAGATACTAGTAAGAGTACACTGGACACAACTAAATAATTCAACAAAGCCTCGCCTCTCTGTGACGGTTCGCTAGGCCAGGCGTTTGAAGATACTAGTAAGAGTACACTGGACACAACTAAATAATTCAACAAAGCCTCGCCTCTCTGTGACGGTTCGCTAGGCCAGGCGTTTGAAGATACTAGGAAGAGTACACTGGACACAACTAAATAATTCAACAAATCCTCGGTGACCTTTAGAAAGAAAATGTGTGTTGATGAAAATAATGAAGAAAATCCAGTGATGACTCTTTCCTAACTCCAACACTTGACACATTGTCTATACCTAGGTCTATCTTTGACATTGTCTATACCTAGGTCTATCTTTGACATTGTCTATACCTAGGTCTATCTTTGACATTGTCTATACCTAGGTCTATCTTTGACATTGTCTATACCTAGGTCTATCTTTGACATTGTCTATACCTAGGTCTATCTTTGACATTGTCTATACCTAGGTCTATCTTTGACATTGTCTATACCTAGGTCTATCTTTGACATTGTCTATACCTAGGTCTATCTTTGACATAGTCTATAACTTGGTCTATCTTTGACATTTTCTTTACCTAGGTCTATCTTTGACATTGTCTATACCTAGGTCTATCTTTGACTACTACCACTCCGTGTTTTAATTGAGATAGCTTCACAGCTCTACTGTCTATGTCACGAAGAGTTTTATCTTATTTACAATTTCCTACCTCAATAAATGATCCAGGAATGCTAGCTATTAACATATTCCGTCCCTTCATTTCCGGTCTGTTAGGAACTTCCGTCGTTAACACAAAAATTATCATGCAATGTCTGGAAGGCCGAACATAATGTTATGGAAAGAAATAATTCCCTCTAATCTCAAGATGGGATAATCTTTTAAACTTAACACCCTTCCCCTAACAAAGCCCTTCCCAAATCCCCAGCAATTTCCATCCGCCTTATAAGTTAACTAAACAACAATGGACCACTGCTCTGTTCCCCATCACAGTGATTTGTGACCAACTATAACCAAGAATACAAGCCAGCAATACCGTGAACATCCCCCTTTGCTATATCACCGATATACAGCGCTTTGAACATTGAGATATGATTTGTCTTGTTTCTTAAGTTTTTAGCGTTTTAAAGATTTCCCCATTTTATTGAAGCACGCACTGTTTTCATAATATACGTTCTGTCCCATTCTCGAAAGTGAGTAAGTTCTCTAAGATACGCAAAGTTTTATTATCATATATGAATAGAAACTTTTTTTTTAATGACCGAAAATATTTACAAGTGAAAATTGAAAAAAGGAAAGAGAAAATAAATAATAAAGAAAAGGGTAATTTTAATTTTTATTATTTTGTCTTTTCAAAGCTTCATTGCTGCCATATTCACAATGCGGATCAGCAGAGGAAGGAAAACCACACACACTAACATTCGCCTGGAATATGCACCCCAATCATAACAATGGCGACATTTATGTAGAAAATAACCACACAACGATAGCTGTTTGCAACGCTGACCACACATGCCAGGACTTGTACCCGGGGCACTACAGCACCGAAGTATCCACGAATCAGTCAGAGAGCGTAACGAATCTCCGGGTAACCATTGCGAACGTATCTCGTGTCATTCCAAGGATTGAGGAGATGTGGAAAGTTACAACAAATCGGCAGGTCCTTGGCTGCACACTCAAGGTTTACTGTAAGTGTATTAGGTTGCTTCTTTTGTGCCTCCCTCCCCAAACACGATTTTTAAACGGCATAGAGTTGCTTTAAGCATGTCTTTACTTTAAGCAGAGACGTCCTATGGACCATGCAACTCCTACGGCTGCAGGGGCTCAAATACTTAAAGGGCCCAAAATGTGATATGAGAAAAAATATTTGAACTATCAGTTTTAAATGCTAGCGGCACAAAATCGAAAAATGGCACTCGGCCTCCACAAATGACGCGCAAGCTTGAATTAAATTTAAGGTTCTGCTTTTAACAATGGGTAAAGTAGTTATTTAATAGTTTGGGTTCAAATAAAAATACACACAGCACTTAAAAATAATATATTTTATTTGTGACATTTGATACAGGTTAATTTTTAAATAATTGAAATACGTCCCGATAAATTAAATTTAGCTATGAGTGCCTAATGAGTCTGATCTGGGTAGCCCTTACTGAAATAGAGTCTTGCTGGGTACTTCTAACCGTCCGTCTATTTTCAGGTCAAATGTCACAAAAAAATCTTCTAGCTGGTCACCTCTATACTTAAATGGGTTGCTTTCAATCTCCCGCAACTTCAGTCTTACTGCTAACACTATTACTATTGTGGTGCATGGTATACTTTATGGAGCTGTAGCACCTACGACTGTTCAGCAGTAAAATCCCTTTCGGGTAGATACTCAATCTTTGATCCCCACATGGTGCTCAGCTCTTACCTGTGTCTTCAAGAAGCTGTAGCATGCACAGCGGCAACACCTTGGAAAACGGCTGTGACTAGCAATAAAAATCATACTGAGTGTGGCGAAACGATTTCAAGTCTTCGAAGAAAAAGGGCTTGTCCCCTCCTCCGGAGAATCATCCGGAGCATTGCAAGGAGGAACCGTTAGGTTGTCAACGGTCAGAAAAGCGGAGACAGCAGCGCGATGTGAATCGCTCAGAGCTTGGCAACACATGCAGAGAGCCATGGTCATTCACTGAACACAATCCCACCCCAAGCCATCTCAAGCTTGTCTTGCTGCGGGACTCGGATGGCGTTGGGCGAGAGAGTGAGTTTGACGATTCACGAAACTGCTCCTCAATTAATCCGAGTGAAAGCGCAAGTCATTATGATCATTCATCCATTCTCGTTTTTTTTCCCTCATCTACAAAATCCTGTGGCAATGGGTAAGCGGTGAAGTGGCAGGTATGGGCACACTGGACGGCGTGGGTGCATCGGCAGCCGCAGTCGCAAGCCTGTAGATAATACGGCTCAGCCCATAGGGCCATTGGACGGCGTGGGTGCATCGGCAGCCGCAGTCGCAAGCCTGTAGATAATACGGCTCAGCCCATAGGGCCATTGGACGGCGTGGGTGCATCGGCAGCAGCAGTCGCAAGCCTGTAGATAATACGGCTCAGCCCATAGGGCCATTCATCACTGTAAAGGAGTAATCGTTGTGTCCGGCAGCCCCCCTGAGCGATTGCACAACACTCTTTGTGAACACAATTCTCCCCTCCATGACACGATTTAGGGGCTAAAAAAGGTGCCCTAAACATTGACTGCTCCAGCTTTTCCTATCCAGCCCTCATCGCATGCGGTCGAAATACATATTGGAACTCAAAAATGTATAAAAATGTAAAATTATCGCACTAAAATTGTTTGGAATGTGCGTACTATTCAGGACAAGGAAAACGCCAATAGATGGCAAAAGGGAAAAGCACTTACAGGAAACAACTAGCCATAAACAAGGTAGATAGTGCAGACTTTCGGAAGACCAGGATTTCAGGTAAGGGCGAACTCTGCGGGAGGGTGGGGGTCTCATGATATACTTTCTTTTGGAGTGGTCGAGGAAGCAATGAACGTTGTCGGTCTGATTATTTTGTTCGCTCTCAAATCTACAATGATTATAGCATGCTGGCTGCACTTCTAAGGGTAGTCATCGATTGGATAATGACAATAAAATGATTTCTTATCTCGAAGAAAACATCTCACAACGATGACCAACACAGGTGAAATTGAAACCAAGTTCTATGAGGATCTTCGCTCTGTCATAGATGCTATTCCGAAGCAGGACAAGCTCGGAATTCTTGGCGACTTAAAGGCTGGAGTGGGTCTTGCAACAGTAAGGTCTCCAACAGTAAGGTCTCCAACAGTAAGGTCTCCAACAGTAAGGTCTCCTCTTGCACCAGACTAGACATGAGTGCAAACTGCTAATTAATTGATAATACAGTCTTTTGTCTTTCAACGTGCAATCGGAAGTGTAACCTCGCAAACAAATTTGCATCTAATCGACTATGTTATCATTATAAGAAAGGTCAGTCGTTACCTATTTATAACCAAGTATATGTTCAGAATATTAGACATACCATCATCTCGAAGCTTAAAATTCCCCTACAACACAAAAGATGAGCACATTTGAAGAAGATCCCAAACATCTGAACACGACAAAGCTGAAGAGCCAAAGTATCAAAAAAGTTTGTGGATGCTCAGGAAGAACGTCTGAAATCTCTAGATAATCACAGCATGGAATCGGATGGGGTATCACTTAAAGCAATGATGTATAACACCGCTGTGGAGTTTCTGGGACTTGCTCCAAAAATACATCATGATTGGTTCGATGACAAATTTCAGGGTAATCAAGCAGCTGCTGGGGGAAAAACACCGTCTTCACAACTGTTTTCTCAAGAACTCAAATTGGGTGGCCGAGCGGTCTAAACTGTCTCAAACCAAACAAACGGTTGTCTGGAGTTCAATCCCCACCAAAGCCAACATCCCAAGCACCCCGGGTGGAAGGGACTCGTTAGCCTTGGACGGCAACCCATCTAAGAGAAGGCAAACTCTGAATTTAAACCAGGAGCCAGAATGATCAACAAATTGATCGTGGGCCCCTCAAACATAAGAAGAAGAATCGCCAGAAAAGGTGCCTACAACATACAAAGAAAGGTGCAGCAAAACCTCCAACAAATGACAAGACTAACGCGATCCAAGGCCACGCGGAGAGATCAGATCTGAGACATTTGTACTCCGCTCTCAAAAAAATGTCAGGAACAGATTGTTGACATGTAGACCCATTTTACACCATTGTAGACCCAAGAAGACTTTCTAAACTGTCAGTAGAGATGGTCTGTGGAAGATCATCGGTAAGTATGGGTTTGCACAAAAGTTCATTTTAATGGTGTGTGAATTCCATCATAGTATGCAGGCTTGGGTCTGGACAAAATGGACAGGCGTCTCAATAATTCCAACATTCAGCCTGACGCTTTCGGGGAGGAAGACATTGTAATCGGCGTCAGAAACAGAACTGATGTTAAACTATTTAACACCAGAAGACTAAACGCTAAGGCCAAAGTCCGGACAGACGTCATCGGGGACTTTGTGTAAGCCGATAACTGTGCACTTGACGCTGAATCAGAGGCCGATATGCCGTGAAGTGTTGCAAACTTCTCGGATGCCTGCACAAACTTTGGCCTTACCCCTAACACAAAGAAGTTTAAGGTCTTGAATCAACAAGCTCCACGAAGACCTTGCTTCGAGCCAACCATCCAAGACAATGGCGAAGGGCTTATGGAGGTAATCTACTTTTTCTTGCTTTGGCAGCTCACGTCCCAAGGCGGATCCATCGATGATGATTGGAAACTTCGAATTCTAAAAGCCATTGGGGAAAATGTAAGAATGTTTGGATAAGTAGAGGCATCCGCACAACAACCTGAAATAGAGGTTTAAGATACAGTTGTGCTCCCAACGCAAGTATATGCTTGCAAAATATCAATAGTCTATCAACGCCATGCTAGGAAGCTAAACCACTTTCACGCGACGAGCCTTCGCAATTACTCAACATTAAATGACAGGACAAGATCCCACACTGAGGTACTCACACAAGGAGGTATCCTCCATCATGCACACCTTATTGATGCAGACATTTTGTAAGGATGTCCGGCGACCGCTTGACGAAAGTAATTATTTTATGGCAACCTCAAGCAGGGCAGGCGTTTTTGCTGGGGGACAGAAGAAAATCTTTGAAGACACAATGGAAGCAAATTTAAAAACATATCACATGGACCAGGATATTTGGGAACAGTCTTCAAAGAATCGAGACTCGTGGCACTTATCCATACATAAGGACTCAATACAACAGGAGGCGAACAGAACAGCTGCTGGAGAACACAAACGACGAGCCAGAAAAGCCCGAGATACCTCAAGTTGTTCCATTCGTCTACTGCATCTTCTACACCAGAACATTTCGTCCCAGAACTGATCTGATAAGCAATCTGTACACCTTAAGCAAAAAGCCGATGTTTAAAAGTGTCATGAACCACCACTACCACTACTACTAGTATACCTAGTACTCTACTTCTCTCTCTCTGTCTCTCTCTCTCTCTTTCTCACTATTCACTATGTACATATATATATATATATTCACTCTGTCTCCACTGTCAACTGTCTGGGTCTCAAATCTCTATTCTCTTCCTGATCGATCAATCATCACGTCCTCATCAGCTTAAGTACCCTTCTAAAGTTATTTTAAGTCCCGGTCTTCCAAAAAACAGTCAACAAATTCTATTTTTGAATCAAGTCAATAGGAATCACAGAGTCAAAGTCTCCTAGCTTAGTAGCTCATCATTAATTGGTTATTTCACTTTGATGTTTGTTTGCGCTAAAGAAGGCATTTAACAAACACATACGTTGCATTCGTTTGTCTTCTTTCATGGTTTGCCCTTGTAATTTTTAAATGAAGCAAACTGACGATAGAACGATTTATCACTTTGTAAACTCAAATAGAAATACCGAGGTTTCTTCCACTCCAACGGTCAGTTCATGGGTGGCCTGCTAGTCCTATCCGTGCCCAGGACAACTTAGAGCTAAACGATGTTAAAATCTGCGAGGTCGGAAGCTCCGGGGAATCCTTTTCGTAAGGTCCGAAGATTCTCCCCACTTGCACTGACTCAAAATATAGGATCGTGTTTTTTCCCCAGGGGTGGCGAGGGAGGTCATAGTGGCCCGCAGTAGGAAAGCCACATCTTACTTCTACGTTCAAAATACAAGGGAGCTACCCCTTTGGTGTTCTTCTTCTTCTATATTTTGAGGGCCCACTATCAATTAATTGATAATTCTGGCTCCTATGTTTCAGAGGGGTTCGCGATGTTACTGTGCATGGGTTTCAGTGGATACTTCACTGGTTGCAAGGGGGACGCAGCAGTGGTTTTATGAACTGGGAGTTGCAATACAGGAGGCAGTAGACACAAATGGATCGACTGTAGCCGCCTCAACTGTTGCTTTTGGAAGCTTGTTCCAGTCCCCTATTGTCTTTGGTAGGAATGAAGAGCTCCTGTACTTTGTTCTTGTTTTTACCTGCCGGAACTGTCTGTCGTGGCTTTGGAGTTGTCTAGAGGGAAGATTAGCGAGTTTCTGTTTGATTCCGGAGCAGTGCACCAGCCCATTTGTTATCTTGTACAACATGGTGAGCCTGGATAGTCGCCGCCGTTCTTCCAATGTAGACCAGCCCAGTGTTTCAAGCATGCTGCCAACACTTGAGGTGTTTCTGTAGCGGTTCATGACAAAGCGTGCTGCCCGTCACTGGACCGCCTCCAAACTGTCGATGCTTTTCTGGGTAAATGGGTCCCAGACTGTAGAAGCATACTCTAAAAGAGGCCGGACAAAGGCTTTATAGGCTTTTTAGGGTAGCCGCTAGAGCAAAACATCCCGAGGAGAAATGGTCTCACGCGAGATGGGATTCCCGGGGCCTTCGAAGAGCTACTGTTCAGGTCGTCGATGACATTTCAAAATGTAACACTTCAGCTAAAGTCAAACTGCGGTTACTAGCAACCGCACCCCCAAATTACCGTAACAGCCCTTTCTTCTCATACACGATTTTTTGGAGAAGCCGCATTGTTTGAATGCTGTAGTGTGTGTTTAGCCTTATACCGAGCAATTTACTTGACATATTTCTACATTAGAATATCGTTCTAAAATTCATTACCTTACATTATAATCTAATTTAAATACACACTTTTTTTCCAGCGAAAATTAAAAACATCACGTGCAGTAAACAGATATTTACTGACAGCATTAGAGTGACATGCAGATCCATGCCATTATATCCCCAGGGCAGATGTTTCCCTTACCTCCTTCAAGTAAGTATTATGATATAACCTCAGAAACATGCGTTAAAGATCATCTGTTTATATTAAAAATTATCTTTAATTATAGGTCATACCAAAGCTGTATTTGCTGTCTTTGCGCATCAGTAGTGTTTTATGCACTAATGGTGTCTTTTTGCACCAATGCTGTCTTTTCACAACAATTCTGTCTTTGCGCATCAGTAGTGTTTTATGCACTAATGCTGTCTTTGTGCACCAATGCTGTCTTTGCGCATCAGTAGTGTTTTATGCACTAATGCTGTCTTTGTGCACCAATGCTGTCTTTGCGCATCAGCGTCATCTTTTTGAATCCTGGAAGTTGCACATTGACCACAGAATTCTAAAAACACCACACTGTTGCTTTTTCGCAAGAGATGCCAATTCGCAGAGTTTGTGTATTTGTTTGCGAAATCGCGGTGCTCAAATTGGCACAAACAGCCTCCTTTCACTAGGTCAGGGATTCTCAACTTTTGAGGGCGGAGCCATTTTTGTAAAATATTTTCTTTACAGTTACATTTAAGAAATTTGGTTGCGCCCTAAAAAAATTGCATTCGGAGGACACATGCACACATTACAAATATAGTACTATTTTAGTTCTGAATCTAAAGAAGAACAAGCACCAATCGACAGATTGAAGGCGGTCCAGCTACGGGCAGCACGCTTTGTCCTGAACCGCTACAGGAATACCTCTAGTGCTGGCAGCATCCTGGAAACACTAGGCTGGTCACCATTGGAGAAACGATGTCGACTATCCAGGCTCTCCATGATGTACAAGATAAATAATGGGCTGGTCCAATGATCCAGCATTAAACAGCAACTCGTCTCTCTCGCCCATAGACAGCGACGGGGCCATGACAGGCAGTTCCGGCTCATACCAGCAAGAAGCCAGTATAGGAACTGTTCATTCCTGCCAAACACAATCAGGGACTGGAGCAAGCTTCCCAATGGAACAGTTGAGGCGACAACACTTGACACATTTGTGTCTATTGCCTCAGCCCTTCCAACCCACAGTGCATGATACCCTCACAAAGTAACCCTTGCAATCAGTGAAATATCCTCATCAACACCAGACACAGAAACATTGCAAATCCCCTCTACATGCATAGGAGCCAAAATGATCAATACATTGATCGTAATCCCTTAATATATAAAATAAGAAGAATCTATACATTGAAACAAAAACAGCAATTAAGACGTCACTACCATAGAATGTCTTTGATTTTACCCCTTTATGATTATCAAGTTCTTCCGATTTTGGAATTCCATATCGAACCTAGTATTTTCTGTATGGGTAATGAAATAAAAACACTAACAAGTAAGGTTACAAGCTTACAATTACATTTCTATCGCAAAACTAGAAAGAAACAAAAGAAGAAAAAAACTACACTAGTCTAAACCTACACAATATGTCTACGGTAGCGCATTTTCGATGACATCACGTCGTCTACATTTACTTGAATATGGGAAACGTTTTTTTAAATAACTAGATTTCTGCTTCATTTCTCCCCACTGATTATGTGATTATCGACGACTAACTAGATTATGATTACATTATTTATTCATTTCTTTTATAGTAAATTGCTCTTGTCCACTTACACTCAGAATGTGATATATTCGAAATATCAATAAAAAAAAAACCTGAATAATAATCGCAAGAGCCGCACGAGGCTTTGTGGCAGTATGTTGCCGATCTCTGCCCTAAGAGGATTGCATTTGTCCTGTCAAGAAAGCACCGAGCACTCTTCAGCCAGTCTTAAAGACTTGAATCAATTAGTAAATAGCCACTAGGCCTAGAAGTCAAGTCGATTCTTCGATAAGCAGAGGAAGCATACAAGCAGAGGAATATAGCAAAGAAAAGGGGGTCCCAGGTAGCAAATCAATGGAAACTCCACTGGATTGTTGGCAAAGCAGAGATAAAGAGACACATTCTTTAATCGCCATGATGGTACAAACGAGAAGTCTATCCAAGTTTGACCCTATTTGTTGGTCTGTCCTACAAGGCCGAAGACAGGTGTAATTTAGGTTTTTAAAAGTCTTTTTTTAAAATGTCAAAATGGGTTGGCTCCCTCCGGGTTACTCCTCGAAGGATTTTAAGCGATCATTTCCCCCACTTCAATTCTCACAGCGGTTTTTAGATAGAGGGAGCAATATTTAAAAATAGAAATGAGTAAAAAAAGAAGTTTAGAAAAACCTGAAAAAAGTAACGGAATATACGACGAACGTGTCGGCAGAATGTCTTCATCAGCAAACAAACAACAGTAAAAACAGAAATGAATTTTAAAAAATTGCACTTAGCTGAGAAGTATTATCCGAAATGGAAGAAAAATAATTGTCTCCGGGATGTTAATCAAAGTAGACGTCTTTATTCCATGTTTTATTAAAATGTTTCAAAAAAGAAAATATTAACCGTACCACGTCACAGTAAAATATTATTCTCATCAGATGGGTTTTCTGACATCGAACAATGACATGTCTTACAGCAATGAGATACAGCAAGGAAACCCTACTTTTTATAGAACCACTTGCACGTTAAGCGTCCCGAACTCAAACCTTTTAAAGCCAGGCGCATATGAAGTTGTCATGATCATGTACCCGGATGTGTCCGGCACGGAGAAAGACATAGAGCTCGGCACAAAGAGCTCTTTCTTAATTCACATAGGTAAGTTGTTGTTTTTTCTGAACAAAACGCAAATAGTTAGAAGGAAGTTGAATTTAGACATAGGTATTTCTTTCTTAGTCCAAATTTAGACCTGTTCACTCCTGGGTTAGTGTCAGAGTTGGTTTCTGCTCTCAAAGACGTAGTTTCAAGCTCAATTGAGTAGTTTAGGTCATGTGTGTGTGTGTGTGGGGGGGGGGGGCACTGGTTTACTATCGAATTACAAGTTGTGTAAGAAAATTCACTCAACTGCTTACATAAGTTAACACAAATAAATATACAGGATATGATCCTCCGATTTGTTTCTTAAGGATGAGAAAAGGTCTCAAGCAAGCACTAAAGTACACTTTACAAAGGGCTCATAGATTTAGTATGCACTGTTACGCAAAAAAAGTCAAATTTGATAGAATGTGTTGTCATTGGCAACGAGTCTATGTGGCATGTTTCAGCTCGATAGATTGACGGGAAGTGGGTCAATTAGCAATACGGAGATTTTAATGACGGAAACACACGAAAAAAGCGAAGTTAATATAAAGAATTTAAAAAAAAACAATAGTTGTGTTAAGATTCTACAAATTAATGTTAAATCCAAATTGTATAGTTTATTCTTCACATTGTAAGTATCACCCACTTGAAATTTTGAGTACGTTAGCCACATGCTTTCGTCTATTAAAAATACGTTTTTTTTTTCCCTATAGTAATTGAAATATTTTCACTTGACATATGTTTACAGAATATCCAACGGTGACAATTCAGACTTGCCCACGCATTGTCATAGAAAATACAACAGTCAGCTGCACGTGCATTGGATCTGACGACAGCGATATCAATGCTACAGTGGCCTGGTACGATGATGACGACAATCTGGTAGACAACGAAGCTAGGCTCACTTTTACTGCCTCTAGAAATAGCAGCTGTAAGTTTGGTACTGACTCGTATAGTTTTATAAACAGATGATTAAAAAACACTCTACAGTGGACGCATTCAATTCAAAGGATGTATTATAGAATGACATTTTCATTATATCTAACTAAATGAAGTGAATTGAAAAAAAAAGGTACAGTTATGTATGAGGAAGCTAGAAATAGAAAGACCGGGACAATGAGAGAAAATCGTTTTGGCTCAAAACCTTCCTCAGCAGACAGGACAACATGAAGAAGTAAAAATAAATAGGAAATAATTTAAAAACTGAAGTGTTCACCAAAAATGTTATTGCCGCTTGTCCTTCATTTCTTATCCTAAAACTATGTATGATGCTTATGGTGTTAATGACATCAGTGGTGCAACCTGTCACAAGAAAAAGCGCAAATTGTCAATAAATTAATACTAGGATCACAGGTAACTTTCAAAACATTCTACAAGAAAGAATCGTGTTTGAGTGAGGTCGATTTCGTCACCCCGCATTTAGTTTTGTCTATTTCACTGATATTCTGGACATTAATTAAGGATTGACCATCATCTCAACTGAAAATACATGATTGCTGTCTAATGTGTGTCTGGAACTAACGCCGAAAAGAGACAGTTTTTGAAACAGCGGGGTATTTTCAAGCTATACATTTACGTAGCAGACGTGAGAGTGAACTTATTGAAAACCTGTTGATAATTGTGAGCTAGAGAAACAAACTTGAAACAGCCTTGCACTTTTAAAATATGTAATGTGGCCAATTGAATAAGTAAGGAGTTATAGTACGACTCTCTGAATTTTTTTTAAAAAGTGCATCTTTAGGTTGCAAAATTAACCTCCATTTCTAATACATGTCTATTCAATATCTTCATTCCCTAAATATAAATAGCTTTATTTTGTATCGCAACAAACCAGCTTGGCATGAAGGGCCCCAAATTGGCTTACAGGCCTACAATAATTGGTGAGTGAATAATTTTTGTTTTCTTTAAATCGAAACTTGAATTTCCATAAACAGAAAGAGAATCTCTTTGGGTGTTTTTATTTTTGCGAACTTCCTCTTTAGTACTTCGCAGTCGGTACATTTACTGAATGGGCGGTTCCTTAGGGCCTATGTTGTCGATCGAGAAAACACTGTGCAAAGGTCTACTTTCGTCCCCACTGGATGATAACAAACAAACAAAAAAAAACACCAGGCTGCAAATACGAGATTTGTTTCTGTTCACTATCCCATCAGCATCACAGCACCTTCACGTCCCATCAGCATCACAGCACCTTCACGTCCCATCAGCATCACAGCACCTTCACGTCCCATCAGCATCACAGCACCTTCACGTCCCATCAGCATCACAGCACCTTCACGTCCCATCAGCATCACAGCACCTTCACGTTCACAATGCGCCCTCACTACGTACTACTACTACTGACTAAACTAGGACTTGCACTACAACGATAACTCATCAGAGCTTGACGTACTCGGAAACCCAAAATCCCCCTTTTCCCTCGACTTAAAAAAATACCTCACTTGTTTATTGACCTTGAATAAGCTGACCGATCGGAACTGGCCTTCACAAAACTACTTGTGGTCAACAAATATTCCATATACAAACAATCACGCTCACAAATCCAGTGCATAGAAGTTGCACTGTCCAAGATTTGATTTTATTATAACTTTTAATAAAGAACACGTTACTAGTGATGTTTACTTTTCTTCTGAGGTAGTCAACATTCATTTATAGAGTTGCCCGTGAACATTTCAGAAAAGTTTGGCCCCATGACATGTAAAGACCACGTGACTCCAGACGTTGTCACCGTCTCCTGTAGCAGTGCACGTGCTCACCGAGCCACCGCATGTCTGTTTTCAATCAACCGAAAACACGTAAGAGCTAAATGTAACTGATGTAGGCATCGATCTTTGTCTTATACATTGGGTGAAAGCTGGAATGAAAATACAGGGCAATGAACAGATCAGTTCGTCGGAAACACTTCACTAGTGGAAAAACAATATTTAAAAAGCGAGAATGAGAAAATTATATTTTATTTAGACGGAAACTGAATGTTTTTGTTTTTTTTTTGGTATCATTTATAAGCTTTTAAAATAATATCTTTGAGGAGTTCTGAAAGAAATTAATAATTTCAAATTTTCCCCCCACAGAAAAGAATTCAATTAAAGAACACCACAGTTTATATTAACACTATAGAGAAACTTAACGATAGTTTCTGTTATTCAACCAATTGCACTTTGGTAGCACCAGCTACCAGCTTAAGCCCTGGCCGATATGAAATCTTAGCTACCATGTACCCAGATGTCACGGGCCATGAAAAAGACTTGGAGTTTGGTATCAATCAGACATTATCGATTCATATAAGTGAGTGGGGTATTTTTGGGGTCCTCAGTGTCACTACTTGTTGGCATATCCGCTAGTATATTATAAATCCCATTTTAGAGTGGCCATATCCCCCCGAACATTTTAGAGTGGCCATATCACCCCGAACACTTTAGAGTGGCCATATCACCCCGAACATTTTAGAGTGGCCATATCACCCGGAACATTTTAGAGTGGCCATATCACCCCGAACATTTTAGAGTGGCCATATCACCCGGAACATTTTAGAGTGGCCGTCTACCCTGCACATTTTAGAGTGGCCGTCTCCCCTGCACATTTTAGAGTGGCCGTCTCCCCTGCACATTTTAGAGTGGCCGTCTCCCCTGCACATTTTAGAGTGGCCTTCTCCCTTGCACATTTTAGAGTGGCCGTCTCCCCTGCACATTTTAGAGTGGCCTTCTCCCTTGCACATTTTAGAGTGGCCGTCTCCCCTGCACAGTTCCCAGGCTAACAACTTGCAGCCTCCTGCACATTTTAGAGTGGCCTTCTCCCTTGCACATTTTAGAGTGGCCGTCTCCCCTGCACATTTTAGAGTGGCCTTCTCCCTTGCACATTTTAGAGTGGCCGTCTCCCCTGCACATTTCCCAGGTTAACATCTTGCAGCCATCACTGCAGGAAAGACAAAGAAACGTCAGGCCCACTCCAAAAAAGAAATTCCTCCCGAGGCGATCAGCACCACAAAAAAAATAAATAATAATAATTAAAAATAGTGATTGTCGATTGCTGGCCACTCAGAAAAGAATAAAAAATACATAAATACGAAATAATTAAAAAAACAATAAATACAACTTTGTAAAATAGTTTAAGACATTAAGCTGTCTAGAAAACCCCTGTAATTAAAATGAAAACATTTAGTGTTGCAATTCATGTTATTGTAACAAGTGTATTTACATTACATATATAGCAGATTTCTGAAATGTACATCTTCTCGTTTTTTCCACAATGTAAAAGAATAAAAACATGAGCAGAGGCTTAAATTGTTTTTCAACGCTCAGACACTACCCTGAGCGTTTCCCCTCCTCTGACGGATAAATGATCTTGCTGGCTGCCGTCCATGGTTTGCCTTGTAAAAGTTATGTGGTGGGGTGGGTGAATATACATTGCTGTTCTTTATTTCATAAATGTATTTTATTTTAATATCATGATTATGTCTCTTTTGATAAAATTTTTATGTACAGCGCGGTGAGCCCAGCCCTAGGCTGTGGTACCGCGCTATATAAGACCCCTTATTATTATTATTATTATTATTAATCACTAAGGTCATTGTTTTTCAGATCAAGACCACATAAAGTGCGGTGATGAGACAGCTGAAGACGTTGTAATTGTCTGGTGTCTCAGTCCGCGAATGCACTCTGAAATAAAATGTCGATTTCTTGTCAATGATAAACATGTGAGTTGTAAGATTGATAGGAGTTTTATTATTTATTTTCATTGACTTTCGCGCCACATTCACTCGTGTCTAATCTACATTTAACAACGTCAGAAAAAGACTACTTTTACTGTAATGGCATAATTTATTGATGTAATAAATCTCTATTTGTTCGTCTAAGGCACCTGAGGCAAGACTCTTATCTTTTTATTTTTAATTTTTAAAAAAAAATAATTTAAAAAGAGATGTTTAATGTCTTCCCCCAATAAATAAATTTGATATATTTTCTATATTCTACCATCACTTAGATCTACTCACCCATCTCTAACAGCGATGTGGTTGTTACCAATGAAATTCAACCCGGGTATCGCGAATATTACAAATCGAACTGCACGTTAATTTTCAAACGGAAGGATTTAAACCGTGGAAATAACAGTCTTCTGGTGACCATGTACCACAAGGTGACTGGTGACGCCGGAGACCTAGAGTTTGGATTTAATCAAACAATCAACATCCACATAGGTCAGTCAATTCATCGATTATTGGTCATCACATATATTTCACTACAAGAAAGCTCTGTGAATGTATTCCTGTGTTATACATATAGAAGTGTTACATTGCACACCAACTGTGTTAGTCGTGACTTTATGGTGTTAAATATTTTTATTTTTAATTTTATATGGTAAATTAATATGTGCCCCACCCATACCCCTCATTAATATTTTAAAATGAAGTTCATAAGTATCTTACCCATATTAAATTTACAATAAAATTCAGTGACTCAGAATATTCTATAACAGAATCTGCCAGTATCTCCCATCCAGCCAGTCACGTGGGCGTGATCGCTTTTGTCATTAGTGCCAACACGCTTATCCTTGTGCTTGGCCTTTTGACTCACTACCGAATGAAAGGTAATCTTTTCTGCCATAACACCTAATACACATTTGATCAACAAGTGAATGAGTTGAACAGAGATACATTCAAAAACACAAATCGTCAATACAACAAAACCGTTCCTCCCATTGTAGACATCTTTGCTATTGGGGTCATGACATCTCATTAAGTGCAAAGTGTACTTGATATTTTAACTCGGATCGTCTTATTTCACATGTTTAAACAGCTTTAAAAGTGGCCGTGGAAGACTGCGTCCCCTGTATGAAGAAGAAGACTTGGACCAACTACGATGAGCTCAACCAAAGAGATCTGGCGTCTGACGAGACAAGTGGTTACGCGGCCGTTGGCACAACTCAAGGCACTCGAAGTGCTAATAGTGTTGGGGAAACCCCCGTTTACGAACTTGTAGACGTTGAGACACACAACGAAATCAATTATGATATGAGCATGTAAAGATATCTTAGAAAAAAAAAATATCGATATACAGAAACAATGGCAATTGCATGTTAATTTTAATACTTATTAAAGGTTTGATACAAACAAATTCTTTAGTTTTGTTAGGAAGATCTAACATTTAAGAACATGTACTAATTCAGAAATTGTTCACCTTCAATACACACCCCAACCCTGTCCTCTCTGAACATGGGGCTGTTGACCATCTCCACTGGACGCTAATCCACTGGACGCTAATCCACTGGACACTAATCCACTGTACACTAATCCACTGGACACTAATCCACTGGACACTAGTTCACTGGACGCTAATCCAATGGACGCTAATCCACGTCTGTTCAACTGTCCAACCTCTAAGGGAGCTTAACTCAAAGGAAAGGTTTGATCGTTAAATCTCTGTTTGCCGTCATTCCAATGCTGAAATTGCCAAACATATTATTAAGTGCTCTGTACGGTTGTGCACATTTATTTCATTCATATCTGTCTTTATTTGTTTAGAAACACAAACATATTCTCTTCAATTATTTTTTCTCTAGGTCCATTATTCTAGCATCGATACCTTTAGTCTTCCAATTATTACCTGGATTACCGCGTATGAAATTTACTTCATCAATGTTTAAGACTATGGTTTTTCAGTTCTTCTGTGATTCAGTGCTGGACTTGTTTTCTGATCTTCGTATAATATCATCATTATTTAATGAGATGCTCGTATTCGTCCGATACTTAATAACGTACTGTGTTATTTATTAGAAATGTATCTAAGAATCTTATGTTTTTAAGTTCCCTCTTCACCATTTACACTTTATGTCAAATTCAACCCCAGAAAAAACGATTTTAAACCAGGCACATTTAAAAAAAAAAAAAAAAAAGAAGAAATATTTATATGAACGTTACAGGAACTGAAGTAGATACTACATTTTTGTTCTGTGTCCATTATATGTTAGTATTTAGTTGTGTTAATCTAATGCTTAATAACGCTCTGAGTTTTCAGACTTGTCTCTTAGCAATGGTTATACAGTAGACCTTCCAAAGTTTGATATCAAATTATTTTTGTGTTAAAAAGATCAAAGTCACTTGAATCTTTGAAACTTTGTATGCAAAAAAAAAAAAAAATCGTTTGAGAAATGTTAGGTCAGTCTGTATATGTATTGGATTTGCTCGTTTAAAAAAATGAATTTGTTTTTTTTTAAATTTTTTAAAGGGGTCAACATGTATAATTCCTTTATCATGCAATGCTAAAACCCGTGCGTAGACAAAGCAACTTTTCTCTTTAAGTTGAAATTAAATTGATTGAAGCATTAGTTGACGGGTTTCTTTAGACACAGATATTTGTACAAATGTTCGAGGTGTTCCCTCATCTTACTGCTGCGTTCTTATGTAAGGTGCTCAACACTGTCTACCTAATAGGTTCACTATTAAAAATCTTTCTTTAATAACTGCTCAAGAGTCTTTATAAAATTACGTTTGCGCCATCAAACACCGGCGCCATTTCGTTTCCGGTTTTCTGTCGACCTGTTTTTTTTATTCTACCACCATGTCTGGTTTGGTGAAATCTTTCAATTAGTCTTCAACCCACTTGAACTAAACACATGCCCTAGGCAGTGACATATATTTCTAGCATTGTCGGTGTCTCGTCGACTTAATTAGTATGGAAAGAAAGAATTACCCTCACACCCACCCCTCTTATTGGACAGAATTAATAAATGCATCAATAAAATAAACTACATAATTAAAATCAATAAATAAATACAATAAATAAATACATTAGATAAATACAATAAATAAATACAATAAATAAATACATTAGATAAATACAATAAATAAATACAATAAATAAATACAATAAATAAATACAATAAATAACTAAATAAACTAAATAAATAAGCTAATTCAGTTAATAAAATAAATAGATAAATAGATGGTGCTGGGTGGCCGAGCGGTCTAAACCAAATCCAACATCTCAAGCACCCCGGGTGGATGGGACTCGTTAGCCTTGGACGGCAACGCATCTAAGAGAAGGCAAACTCTGAATTTAAACCAGGAGCCAGAATGATCAACACATTGATCGTGGGCCCGTCAAATATAAGAAGAAGAAAATAAAATAAATAAACGTAAAGAAATAAAGACTAATGTTGAACATCAGAATGCAATCAAAAGAGGTGGAAGGAAATATGTGGAACAATGTTTTGGAAACCTTTTTGTTGCGTCCTGTTTCTGGTTTTCCCATAACTTTGGACCTACAGCAACAAATAGCATTATTATGACTTAATCTAGATTAACATGTCAAAGTAATGCTTACCAAAGATCTTTAAATATTTCTTTTGTTTTCTTGGTACTTGTGCCAAGTATTTTATGACATAGAGCATTTAGTTATGCGAGCTACTGTAATTCGTCATTGTTAATTTGCTATTTTAAAACCTTGCAGAAAATCGGATTTTCCCCTTTCCGCATTTGAACACAATTCTTTCTTATTATTCCAAGAATATCCGGTTCACTAGCGCTTGGTAGGCAGCAGTGAAATCTCTCTACATTTTTTTCCTTTTGGAATGTGTTTCTCAAACGTTATTCCTCAATAGTTGGACAAGTTTGTATCTCAAAGTCTCCTGTACGTAGGAATGTAATTTATTACTAAAATTACTAAGGTTTATTAGACTTATTCCCCATTCTTAATTTATATAAAATTAGACAGTCAAGGCTATCTACGTGTCATCGACATATTACTTCCGGTTCTTGATTCGCTACTAGATAGTTGTGAAATCTCTACAATTAGGCATACGATTATGTTGTTTATTTGAAATCGCCTATTAGTGATAATGTTTACATAATCTTTGAATAATTAAATTATAATACATCGTTCTATTAAACATGCCCGACGAAATAAACTGAATTCCCTGTTACTACGTTGTGGTGAAATGTCGTCTAGGGGTAGGTCCCTATTCCAACGGCCACAGACAACAACGCTATCGAATCAGAGCCTAAACCCCGTTTTCACTCTCTCTGATAAAAACTTAACGATATAGTTGGAAGGAAAAGGTATACTTTAATTATTTATGTAATGTGCCAAGACAAAAATGCATAACAAACCAAGGTAAATTATGAGAGTGGTAACCGGGGTTTCCCAAGCATGGCCGCCATCTTTGTTGACATGATCCGTGAGAAGGTCACGGATCATGTCAACCAAGATGGCGGCCGACCCAAAAAAAAAAGTAGTGCAAAGACACGTATTGTAAAAAAAGGGAACGGTTGGGGACAATGCGTTTTATCAAAAAACTTACCGAAAGATCGAAAATAAGCAATATTACAAGAAAATTTAATTTTCAAGATAGGAAAACACACAAATATATAGTAATCTGTGAAAAATATTTTAAAGAAAATGTAAAATGTAAAGAAATGGAAGAAAAAAATTTTTTCGGAAAAAAATAAAAAATCAACGAAAAATTTGGTTTTGTAATTTTAAAAAAATTGTAAAAAACTATTAAATTTTGAAATTTAAGAAAAATGATTTTTAAAAAAATTTGTAAAAAACGAGTAAAATTTGAATTTTTTTTTGTTGAAATTTTTGAAAAATGAGCAAAAATTTGATGGCGCAAATCCCTAACCTGGATCCTAAACCCTAAACC